TAGTGATCTATCCATTCCACTCAGCCCAAAGATGAATTTTTTCCTTATCATAGATATTTTTTTTCTTTAATTTTATGGGTCCAGCACACTTCTGCTGCACAACTCTGCTCTTTTTTCTCTAATTCTAAATACACTCAAGAACATTAATTTCTAGACAGCCTAGAATATGAAATGGAGCCACTGGCATGACGGAACCATGGAGTTAAAAGCTTGAGATTCCATTATAATTTTCCTTAGCTAGAAGGTGAGGGGCAGGGCCCCTTTTCTCAGGGTGGCTGGGTTCTAGGGTCCTAGTAATCCCCATGTTCATTCTCCTACAAGTTCATCTTGACCTAGCCTTCAATACATAGCTTTAGGGAGGAAAGTAACAGTAGTTCAAAAAGATGAGAATAAATCAGCAGTTTCTGCAGCTGTGAAATCAAGGTAACTATAAACTAGAAGGCAGTAATGATGGTGATGATGGTAGTGAACTAGGCATAGGAGAGCCTTATGCATGAATAAGGCTCCATTGAAAAACATTTGGTAAATTCCTACTGAGTACTCAAATGTAGCTGGTACCCTCAATCATTCCCAATGCACTTATTCCCAAGAAGTAATTTAGGAAAAGTTTAAGTGTTAACAGGAGTAACTAACCATTTAAAAGATTGTATAATTGTACAATTGCATCATTTATTTTTGGTTAATTTAACTTTGTTAAACTTTGTTGTAACAGATTGGAGAAATATGGAATGAAATATATGAAGAAATAAAATTAGAAAAATTAAGACCAGTCACTATAGATAAAAAAGCTTTGGAAGCTATTACAACAGCATCAGAAAATGTTGGAAAGATGGTTGCTTCTCTGCAAAGTGAGATAATTGAAAGCCAAGCACGCCAAGATGTGCAAAATGAACAAAAAGTATATGCAAAAGTAAGCTACATAGGTAGTGAGGAGGGAGAACGAAGATAGGTTGGTTAATGGGTACAAAAATACAGTTAGATAGAGTAAGTTCTGTTGTTCAATAGCACAGTAGGGCAACTATAGTAACAATAATTTATTGTATATTTCAAAATACCCAGAAGACTTGGAATGCTTCTAACACAAAGAAATGATAAGCGTTTGAGGGGATGGATATCCCAATCACCCTGATCATTACACATTGTATGCACATATCAAAATATTGCATGTATGCCATAGATATGTACAACTATTATATATCAATAAAAAAGTAAGCCACAGATATCATGAAGGCACAAGATATTAATTTCAATGTATAAACCCAGATGAAGTTATCCATAGCATATATTTTTCTTACTTGTGTTTCAGCCTTGAGTTATTTTGTGATTTTCTGTTAGAGTCATTATCAGTGTCTCTGTGCAGTTTTAAAAGAAACTATGAAGTTTGAGATTCAGTTACTGTATTCAGTGCTGTTTTTTTGCATTATAATTTTATTTCTACAGTCTTAAATTTTTAAAAGGCAGAGAGATACTTGACACATGCCACTGCACTCCAGCCTGGGTGACAGAGTGAGATTCTGTCTCAAAAAAAAAAAAAAAAGAAACTGATCTTTCTCATTTCAGATACAGGCCACACACAAGCAAAGAGAGCTGGCTAATAAATCATGGGAAAATTTCTTGGCTAGAACATCAAATGCGAAAACGTTAAAGGTAGGATTTTTAATATATTACAGTATCCACAACAAATAGCCAACTCTTAACAGACAGACTTTTTCAGGAACAAATATTCATTCATTTTTTCCTAGTGACCTTTCCATATACTACCAACACTATTAGATGCTCATAGGCAATTTAGAGTGATAACTGAAACTGCATTTCACAGTTACAGAAGGTGCTGCTTTGAGTTTCATTTGGTGTATCAGGGAGAAGCAAGGCTGATGTTCTTGACCTACATAAAGAAGAAGATGATAGCCAGGAATGAGCAGGAAAAATGTGTTCTGCTTTCCATTCTGAACTTGCTTATTCATTGATTTCTTTTCTGTGAGAGGCAAAGTAAAGGACACAAAGAGCAGCTATCTTGTATTGCTCTCTCCCCCATAGAGCTTTCCCCTCTGTGATCACCAAAAGAAGCATTATGTTAAAACTTAAATGTGAACTGGGGATAAATATGCCTTTGTAGAAAAATGTGGTAAGCTACTTCAACTGTAAGCTAGAAACTCATCTAAAAAATGTATAGTGCTAATCATTCACTTGAAATATGTAAGAAACACCATGGATTTCCAGAATTTCATTACTTTCCCCAACCTATTTCCATTAATATATTGGATACACTTTTTTAAAAATCTCTCCTTCATTTCTGATACTTTGGATACACTTTACCTAATGTTCCAATTCTTCCTGTAGATATAAAATTGCTAAATGTTAGTCCACAAAGACAGTGGAACCATATTAAGATAGCAAAACCAAAGTTAAGAACAAGCTCACTCAAGGTACCAAGTTACCTCCCTTTTCACTGATAGTTCTTCTCAACTCTACTTATAAAGTATCTTCATGACTGCCTGTATTTTTAGCACTAGTTAATGAAAATCAGCTCCTTTCCTGCAGATGGTTTATTACTTCACATTTCACTTGTTTAGTGTCGCAAATAACTTGAAAATAACTTCAAATAGCTTAAATATAACTGCAATGAATTACATAATTTCTATTATTCTGAATGCTTAGTATGTAAGTATACTTAATTAGTTGGTAATTTATGCAACATATTTTGCAACATGCATCACCTGATATAAATTTAATAGCTTATTAAATTATGTGCTAAAAATTGAACCTGATTTCTTTAGGACCTGCTTGACTCCTTGGTCATGTATGACCAATACTTCCGGAAATCTCTGGAAGACTTTTAGGTGACAGGAGTCTTCTTCAATGTGCAAAGTATCTAACTTACTAATAACTGTCTTTTTAGTCTAAATGAGTAAATGTAGATTTCAGCGCTATCTAATAAACAGCCAAAGCATAAACTAGACACAATTAAATATATTTTTCATTGTAAGTACCATCACTACTGATTTAATAGCAATTAATGTTTTCTTTCTAATTAAAAAATCCTCAGAAAGCAAAAAGGCTTCAAGAAAAAGCTATAGAAGCCTCCAGATACCATAAACGACCACAAAATGCAGTATTTCACGGAACAGATATTAAAGGCCTTAACACAACGGTAAGATTCTTTTTCTCCATAACATTTTCTTAATAGACATTAAATTTAGGGTGTTTGTACAACTGTGCAAATGTACTGAAAACCACTCTAAAAATTTAGAGTTATCACTCTAAATTTTACACTTTAAATGGGTGGATTATATGGTATTTAATTATATCTCAATAAAACTGTTCAAAAAAGAAAAAAAATTAAAATTTAAAAATTAGAAGTTAAAAAATCTAATAAAAAAAAAACTTAGGTTCCCAAAATTTTATTTATATGGGATTTTCATCTCACATTTTTTCTTTTTGCTGTTCAAATTTCACATCATTAAGACATGTTTATCTCCAAGGTATATCCACTCTTGCCCAGTTCTGGTTTAGAGTAGGCCCAGTCCTCCAGGCTTTCTAAGAAACTGCTATAAACACTAGTCAGCTTATAACTGTCCTTATCTCTCTTTGACAGAAAAGACGCAGTGCTTCATTTTCCTGGCAAATAGATCCCAAGTGTTCCTGGTATCCTCTGCTAGACTTAATTTGCCCCCAGTTACAAAGCTGATAAGCAATAGAAATAGAATTCAAACCTACTTTTCCTGGCTCCGATGCCCTTATGTTTCTATTATACCATAACTACCTCCTCGTTACTCATATGTAAATTTGTGTCTTTTCAAAAGTAAGTTGAAGGATGAATTTTTCTCTTGTTGAAAATTGTGCAAATGGACTTTTGACATTTACCTTTTACCTTTTTTAGGTGCCCTCCGGTGGGGTAGTAACAGTGGAAAGCACTCCTGCCCGATTAGTAGGAGGACCTCTGGCTGATACGGATATTGCTCTTAAAAAACTGCCCATTCGAGGAGGAGCCTTGCAGAGGGTGAAAGCAGTTGAAATTGTGGATGCACCAAAAAAGAGTATTCCTACGTAATATATTCTAGAGACTTTTTGAAATAAAATCAGCTCGTAATTTTTTAGTTGAATATATCTTTATACATATGTAAAGCCAATATTTTAGAATAAGTATTTGAGTATAAATATTTTAGTAAAATACTATAAAAATAAAAGGACATATAATTTATGTTTATGGAAAACATCAACATGTAATATCAGAAGAGTTGTCATCAGTTTCTTTGGAAAGGCTACCAATTTTATTAAGTGAAATTGTAAAACATCAGTTAGGACTCTGTTGGTTGCATGTGAACTATTCTAACTAGTTTAAGCCAGAAAAAAAATTTCTTACAGGCTCTGTATCTATCAAACCTAGGAGGAATTTAAACTACAGGCATTGCTGAATCTAAGGACTAAAACTATATGAGTAGGATCTTCTCCTTCCCTAGCAGCTCCTGGCTTATATTCTCTTAGGTTCATGCCTGTGTCTCCGTGGTTTCTGCAAATGCCTATGCATCTCAGGACCCCGATTGCCCACATGCCTACTTCTGAGCCATTCACCATGACTTTGGCCATGGCTGAGTACTGCCTATTCCTGGAGCCAGAAGCAGGGCAACTCCATCCAAAACATATGGATAGAGTGGGGAATCAGGGTACTATTACCAGAAGCACGTATATATGAATATTGGACAGCAAGATAAACAATAACTCTGCAACAAATAAGTTGGTCAAAATAAAATTATGTTTTCTCTGCTATAAAAGCTAATGTTAGTCATGAGCTAAATGGTAAAAAAGAAAAATATAGCTGGTTTTACTCTTAATGTATAAATATGCAAAGCAAACTCTAATGCTGCTTCTCTTCTTTGATGGCGAAGAGAAAGGTGTAATGGGGGAAGTGTTTTCCCTCATTTGGTAGTAGAGGTATCTTGTCCAAGAATAGGAGATAAATGCCTTTATGCTAGACATAGAGCAAATCTGTGTCCCTGGATGCCGTTATGAAGTCTCCCTCTCCTGCCTTCATTCCCTTCACACTCCTCCTCCAGCCTGGAAGCCATAAAGTTGAGTTCGTGTCCAGGGATCAGAGAAACAAGGACCTGTTTCTTAGGAAAATAAACGAATTTGAGTCTAGATTCTGGGCCCATGGGGCACACTCAGCAGTGTACTGGTAAATGTATAACTACTGCCTCTCCAGGAGGGAAAAGCCCTGATTTACATCATGTTCTCACCAATTCACACGGTATAAATACTGCCACTATTACCAATCTCAAGCTACCAACGTGATGCCATTGAATACAGCGTTGGGAAAACATAGATAGCGTCTTTCATTATTAGATAAGAGCAGAATGTATCACCTCAATGGACCCACATTTTCCTCCCTCTTCTTTCTTCCTCCTGCCCCTCCTCCTCCTCCTCCTCCTCCTCTTCCCTCAACTCACATTCTTCTAGGGATTTTCCATTATCCTGTCTGTGAAGATAGTATTGAGGGGTAGAGGTTGCAGCTGTTGTTATTGTTCTAATAAGAATGAGTTGCCAGTTCACCTCTGATTGGCGGCCTCTCACCCTGGCCCAGATGCCCATCTTCTTGTGCCCCATAGGAGTAGATAACATGCATCACTTTATCAGTGAGCTTTGTTCTCTCCTGAATCCCTTCCTCTAGTCTACCACCCTCAAGAAGATATTAGAAGGCATAATTTGTTTCTTTCCTTCACAGGAAACCCTAAGCATGGGTAGGAGCATACAACAATGAGATGCCCATACAAAAAGCACCAGATACATCTTAGGTACACGTCAGTAAACCCAGAATTGATGTAAAGTGTCCATGGCTAAGAACAACGAACCTTCGCTCCATTTTGTAGACTATAAGCTCTCTAAGAACAAGGTAGACGCCATATCTCATTAATTATTGTACTCAGTATCTCAGGAAATAAATTATTAGATAATGTGATGGTGGCCTCAGCTCCTGGCAGCCTTTCCCTTGAGCTCTGCAAATGCAGCAAAGTACTGAGCTCAAAGGGAAGATTCAGCCAACAAAATACTATACAAGTAATGCTCAACACAGACAACATGTTAGTTTAAATGTATTTACTTCATAGCCGGGCGTGGTGGCTCATGCCTATAATCCCAGCACTTTGGGAGGCCGAGGCGGGCAGATCACGAGGTCAGGAGATCGAGACCATCCTGGCTAACACGGTGAAACCCCGTCTCTACTAAAAATACAAAAAATTAGCCAGGTGTGATGGCAGGCACCTGTAGTCCCAGCTACTCGGGAGGCTGAAGCAGGAGAATGGCGTGAATCCGGCAGGTGGAGCTTGCAGTGAGCTGAGATTGCGCCACTGTACTCCAGACTGGGTGAAAAAGCAAGACTCCATCTCAAAAAAAAAAGAAAAATGTATTTACTTCATAACATGATAGATTTTTGAAAATCTATTACATGAATATAACTAAGGTGTGGAAATAGTACTACTTGCTTGAGAATCATTTTTGTATGTAGTACAACTAAATGTCTCAGATTGATTAGGACTGACTCTAGATAATTTGTGATGTCTGTGGACCTTTCTTCTTCCGTGTAGGTTTTGCCCATCAGCAAGAAGAAAGGTAAAACAGGGCAGATTATTATGTAACAGCTATTTAATAGACAAATAAGTTTAAGTTGATGGAGAGCAGTAATGTTCCTTAATGCAGACACTTGTACTTGGTAGACAGATTCACCCAAGTTTGCATATTATAATTCCAGCCACCACACAATGAGTGAGTGAATCTTTCTCACAATGTCACTAACTCTAAGTCTCTGTCTCTCATCACATTCTATACTCTCACACCACCCCTGAGCCCTAGGGGACATGATGCCTACCCGATCCTGCCTGGCTGAGAGAAGGATGGTGTATTTTCTTACACTAGTCAAGTGAGACAAAATTTCAAGCTTTCAAACTGAAATTTTTACTAACCAACTGAATGAAAAGAAAGTCAAAAGAATAAAAGTGTGGAATTCAGTGAGCACAGATAAAAGTAGCTTCAACAATCTCAGTAATGAGACTTTGACCACATGGGGGAGCTCAATCTAGCATGGTTAAACTAATTGTCAGACAGTGCTTACTTAACATTGGGTGAAAAATCAGTGAATAATTAGGTGAATAACTTTCATCCATCTGGCATCCTCAGTCTGCCTCATGGAACATAAAGTATATTTTACATACAACTATATTATCCACCTTAAGTCTTTCAGGTCAAATATCCAGTTTCTTTCATCATTCTTCTGATAATATAATTTCTAGAATGTATGAATCTGGTCAGCTCCATCTGAAGTGCTACAATTTGTTAATATTCCTCTAAACTGTGACCAAACGGAACAAAGATTTTTCAGGTGAGCAGGATCAATGTAGTCCCTCTCATTTTTAACACGCATTCTGCCAACACAACCTTAACTTCATTAGTTTCATTATCAACCATTTTTCTTTGTTGCTTACATTTAGTTGCCTTTCAAGGAAAATGTCAGGGATGCTTTCTGAAAAAGAATAGCAGATCCTGACATCCAGGAACTATCCTGGTACTATCAGGCCAAAATTCTATAGATAGACCCAATACCCCAACTTTGGTTTCTAATATCATTCTCCAGTAAAATGAGCCAGGGCTTCTTGGAGAAATGGCTAATTCTAAGGCTGGGGCAGAAATATATGAGTCTGGAGCATCTTACTGAGCTCCCAGTGGCCAAAGCTGGAATGATTTGAACAAATCAATAATGTAGGGTTGGATTATAAACCAAAGTATAAACAAATGTTCAAACTCCATACTGATATAAATAAATGATGAAAGGAAGGAAAAAAAGGAAGGAAGGGAGAGATAAAGTGGGGGAAGCCTCCATACAAAGAATTCTAAATGATTTATGTAGATATTCCCTCCTCAAGAAGGTAGAAGATAACTACCCATTCTCAAGCATGGGTTATGCTTAGTGACTTCTTTCCAGAGGATATAATATAGAAAGAAAGTGGAAAGAAACTTTACAATGGAGAAAATTGGCAAACACTACCTTAGCCAAGATTAAACATCATCAATGGCAAGTCACGTCAATGACATGTGCCTTTGATATGACGTGTTGAGTATGATTTACCTCTGTGGTCTTCATCCCAAAAGCCTATAATACCAGTCTAACAAATACATCAGGCAAACCCAAATTGAGGGGCATTTTGCAAAATACCTGACCAGTACTCAAAATTGTCAAGGTCATCAAAAACATGGTCTGAGACATTGTCACAACCCACAGAAGCCTGAGAAGACATGGCAACTCAGTGTAACATGGGATCCTGGAACAACAATAACAAAAAAGGAGCTTAGGGGAAAACTACTGAAATCTGAATAAAATGGGAAGTTTAGTTAATATTGTATTGGGTTCAGCCTATTAGTTGTGACATATATAATATAAGATATTAACAATAAGAATAAACATGGGGCCAGCACAGTGGCTCAGGCCTGTAATCCCAGCACTTGGGAGGCTGACTTAGGCAGATCACTTGAGTCCAGGAGTTGGAGACCAGCTTGGGCAATGGAGTGCAATCCTGAAATACAAAAATTATCTGGGAGTGGTGGTGTACACCACACCTGTAGTTCCAGTTATTTGGGAGGCTGAGGTAGGAGGATCAATTGAGCCTAGGAGGTTGAAGCTGCAGTGAACTGTGATCGCATTACTGACACAGCAAGACCCTGCCAAAAAAAGAAAAAAGAAAGAAAAAGAAAAAGAAAAAAAAATGGTGAGACGTATATAGGAACTCTGTACCATCTTGCAGCTTTTCTTCAAATTTAAAACTATTTTAAAATGAAAAGTTTATCAAATGTACAAGAAGAAAACATTAAAAAGTGGGCAAAGGACATGAACAGACACTTTTCAAAAGAAGTCATACGTGCAGCCAACAAGCATATGAAAAAAAAGCTCAATATCACTAATCATTAGAGAAATGCTATCAAACCACAATGAGATACCATCTCACACCAGTCAGGAATGACTGTTATTAAAAAGTCAAAAAAATAACAGATGCTGGCAAGGTTGCAGAGAAAAGAGAATGCTTATACACTGTTGCTGGGAGTGTGAATTAGTTCAACCATTGTGGAAAGCAGTGGGGCAATTCCCCAAAGAGCTAAAAACAGAACTACTATTCGACCCAGCAATCCCGTGACTGAGTATATGCTCAGAGGAATATAAATCATTCTACCATAAAGACACACGCACATGAATGTTCACTGCAGCACTGTTCACAATAACAAAGACACGGAATCAACCTTGTCTTTGAACATGCCCATGATGACAGACTGGATAAAGAAAATGTGGTCCATGTACACCATGGAATGCTATACAGCCATAAAAACAATGAGATCATGTATTTTGAGGAAACATGGATGGAGGTGGAGGCCATTATCCTTAGCAAACCAACACAGGAACAGAAAACCGAATACCGCATGTTCTCACTTAAGTGGGAGCTAAATGATGAGAACTCATGGACACAAAATGGGAAACAACAGACACTGGGGCCTACTTGAGAGTGGAGAGTGGGAAGAGGAAGAGGATCAGGAAAAATAACTATTGAGTACTAGGCTTAGTACCTGGGTGATGAAATAATCTGTGCAACAAACCCCTGTGACATGAGTTTACCTATAGAACAAACCTGCATGTGCACCCCGAACCTAAAATAAAAGTTTAAAAAATAAACAAAAGTTTATTTAAAGTTCAAAAAAGAGTCTGGCCAGGCTTGGTGGCTTATGCCTATAATTCCAGCACTTTGGGAGGCAGAGGCAGGTGGGTCACCTGAGGTCAGGAGTTTGAGACCAGCCTGGTGAACATGGTGAAACCAATCTC